GTTGGGTTGACGGTTGGACTCGATCTTAGAGGTCTTTTCCAACCTTAATGATTGCATTAATAATGCAAAAAGAAAATTAATCCACTAGTTAAACTTGGTTTGCTGAAACTTAAAAAGACAAAGTACGAACACTAAGACCAAGAGCGTGTTGCATTTAAATCCAGCCAAGTGTGCAAAGAACGTCTTGGTCATTAATAATGCAAAAAGAAAATTAATCCACTAGTTAAACTTGGTTTGCTGAAACTTAAAAAGACAAAGTACGAACACTAAGACCAAGAGCGTGTTGCATTTAAATCCAGCCAAGTGTGCAAAGAACGTCTTGGTTTTATAGTTTTTCAGAATGAACTTTCTTTTGCGCTCTGGACATACCATTATAAAAAACATACCATTATTAATGAGAGAAAATGTAACAAGAAAGGAGGTCTACATCAAACGGTGCATATAAATTTAAAGAAGCTCTTGGGTAGCCCTATCAAGTCACTGTAATCGCAGCATTTGTGCAGGAAATTCCAGTTTGGATTTCCAAAGGTTAAACAGAACCACTGAGCACTCTTCCCAACTTTCAACTTCATTGAAAAATTAAAAAATTGACATTCAAGTCCACATTTGATCAAGAGCAGTAATATGGCAACGATAAGTTGAATTCTACAGAAAACAGCAATCCTGTTTTTGTTAACGGCTTCAAAAATCTGTACTTTTTTAAAACAAGAACAAACCTATCATGTTTTGAGCTCTCCTTTGTGAAATAAAGTGCTAGAAAAACAAAAATCAATAAAACTGCAAAAAATTGTTTTCACTTGGATCATGAAAAGTATTTAAATAAAGTCATTTTTCACAGGAAAGTGCTACATTTTCAGCATTCTGTAATAAATGCTTTTCCAATGTTGCTGGATTTTATTTCTCAATTGTCTAGAAGAAAAATGGCAGATTCACTCACATGTTAAATTTCAAGATTATACTCTTACAGCTAGTGATTCCAAAAAAGGTTTTCCATCTGGCTTAACTTGTAAGTTTTCATCCTAATATGAAAAAGGTTTGGTAAATTTAAATAAAATAGCTATATCAAGATACAGGCATTGCATCAGTAAGGAGAAAAAAGTAAATAAAATTTAGAATTTGTTGTTTGTTGCACTGTGCAGCAGTCCAGAGAAATCTGAAGTGTGATATGTAATTCAAGGCAGAAAGATTATTTCTTGAAAGAGTTCACATTTTTTTTCTGGTTACCTGTAAGATTGATGCTAACAATTTTCTGCATAGTTGCATAGAGAAAACAATCAGTGTAACATTAGGTATGACAGAGATGTATTAAACTTCACTAAATTACTTAAATTTCTTCAAATACTTCGCCAATTTTTTCCAAAAGTTATCAGGCACTTTGTAAAAACCAGCTAATGTATTTAATTTGACACATCATTTTTGAAGGTATAAAGCTAGTAGCAACTTAAGCTTTTTTACAATTCAAAATTCATACCTGACTAGAAGCCAAGAAAGAAAAAGGTCACCATAAAAAAGGGTATGTGTCAGAAAACATTAAAAAAGGGAATATTATGGAACTGTTTTGCAAATTCAGCTATACATTAATTGGAGACCGCAGCATTTGAGTAACACAATCACTTTTTTTAATTTAAATTAAATCAGACACTTTTAAAGCCTCTTTTAAAATTCTGTGCTCCAATTAATTTAAAATTACTTTTCAGTAACTTTTCTGAAAGATTTTCAACTCTGAAGATACTAGAATCTTTACAACAAGAGAGAGTAGACATGCCTGAGAAGCCATACCACATGGTTAGATCATTGTTAAAGATTCACCAACACACTACTGCATAAGTAGTTGCTACTCCATCTTCTCTCTCATTCCAACATGCCAGCCTTCTGCTTTGCCAGCAAAAGCTTACACAGCAATGAAGAAACTCCATCAGGGAACTGATACAACTGAAAAATAACCAAGAACAATTGTGTTTCTTCAGCCACAGCAGTCTCTCAGTGCAGACCCAGACCAAAGAATGCAGACCAATCAGCTATCCCCCCAACAGCAGTTATTTCCACTCAAATCTGTTAGCTCATTAAACTCGCCATTAGAGTCAACAACCACAGAGGAGGTGGCTGGGCTACAGCGAAAGAAATATCAGTGGCTCTACAGCTTGAGAGGCCATAAGTAGTAAATCTGGAAATAAAAAAAATTGTTCTGCCTGCCTTTTTTTTTTTTTTTTACTCTAATTTTTTATTCTGAGTAGCCTCAACTATTATTTAACAGTATTAGGGAGTAGTTTTGGATATGGTTTTCCCTCTCCCCTAAACTGATGCTTGTTCAAGCTATACTTTTTAAGCACTGAATTTAAGAGTACATGCCAGATTAAGATCTTTTGGAGTTGACTGGAAAAGGATCCACTTAGACCTGAAAGAGGCTATTCCCTTTTTACCCCACTGAACCTGAACTTCAAAGTTGGCCCCAAGGAGTTCTTCAGAACTCTGTCTGTGAAAACTAACCTTAAGAAAGATGCTAACAGGTTTGCAGGAAAGAAAAAAATTAAGGCGAAAAATAAGCACAAAATATCAATACCGAGGATATCAAGTGGAGGACAACATTTAACACACTAAATACAACTGAACTGGTTAATCTCTTCTGCCAAAGGAAACAAACTCGTCCTACCACATCTTTGCCCGTCTGTCCCATTAAACTTTGGTTCTCCATCTTGTTTCAATCAAGCTTAAAAAAACAGTAGCAACTGTTTGATGTACACAGAGAGAAGGCTTGACAAGAACTTAGTTGTTAAACTGCATAGAGAAAACAATCAGTGTAACATTAGGTATGACAGAGATGTATTAAACTTCACTAAATTACTTAAATTTCTTCAAATACTTCGCCAATTTTTTCCAAAAGTTATCAGGCACTTTGTAAAAACCAGCTAATGTATTTAATTTGACACATCATTTTTGAAGGTATAAAGCTAGTAGCAACTTAAGCTTTTTTACAATTCAAAATTCATACCTGACTAGAAGCCAAGAAAGAAAAAGGTCACCATAAAAAAGGGTATGTGTCAGAAAACATTAAAAAAGGGAATATTATGGAACTGTTTTGCAAATTCAGCTATACATTAATTGGAGACCGCAGCATTTGAGTAACACAATCACTTTTTTTAATTTAAATTAAATCAGACACTTTTAAAGCCTCTTTTAAAATTCTGTGCTCCAATTAATTTAAAATTACTTTTCAGTAACTTTTCTGAAAGATTTTCAACTCTGAAGATACTAGAATCTTTACAACAAGAGAGAGTAGACATGCCTGAGAAGCCATACCACATGGTTAGATCATTGTTAAAGATTCACCAACACACTACTGCATAAGTAGTTGCTACTCCATCTTCTCTCTCATTCCAACATGCCAGCCTTCTGCTTTGCCAGCAAAAGCTTACACAGCAATGAAGAAACTCCATCAGGGAACTGATACAACTGAAAAATAACCAAGAACAATTGTGTTTCTTCAGCCACAGCAGTCTCTCAGTGCAGACCCAGACCAAAGAATGCAGACCAATCAGCTATCCCCCCAACAGCAGTTATTTCCACTCAAATCTGTTAGCTCATTAAACTCGCCATTAGAGTCAACAACCACAGAGGAGGTGGCTGGGCTACAGCGAAAGAAATATCAGTGGCTCTACAGCTTGAGAGGCCATAAGTAGTAAATCCGGAAATAAAAAAAATTGTTCTGCCTGCCTGTTTTTTTTTTTTTTTTTACTCTAATTTTTTATTCTGAGTAGCCTCAACTATTATTTAACAGTATTAGGGAGTAGTTTTGGATATGGTTTTCCCTCTCCCCTAAACTGATGCTTGTTCAAGCTATACTTTTTAAGCACTGAATTTAAGAGTACATGCCAGATTAAGATCTTTTGGAGTTGACTGGAAAAGGATCCACTTAGACCTGAAAGAGGCTATTCCCTTTTTACCCCACTGAACCTGAACTTCAAAGTTGGCCCCAAGGAGTTCTTCAGAACTCAGTCTGTGAAAACTAACCTTAAGAAAGATGCTAACAGGTTTGCAGGAAAGAAAAAAATCAAGGCGAAAAATAAGCACAAAATATCAATACCGAGGATATCAAGTGGAGGACAACATTTAACACACTAAATACAACTGAACTGGTTAATCTCTTCTGCCAAAGGAAACAAACTCGTCCTACCACATCTTTGCCCGTCTGTCCCATTAAACTTTGGTTCTCCATCTTGTTTCAATCAAGCTTAAAAAAACAGTAGCAACTGTTTGATGTACACAGAGAGAAGGCTTGACAAGAACTTAGTTGTTAAACACCTCATTGGGCAGCCAGTGACTATACAGTGGTAGTTTAATAAGTCATCTCTTGTCCGACAAGGATGCTTTAAGGGAACTGCGTTTACTGTAGAAACACAGAAAATACAAAAAAACCAGGCTTTCTTAGTTCAGCTGGATGGAAAACTGATACGAATTCCAGCTCCTTGAAAAAAATGATCTAGGCCAATATGATATCATACTGAGAGAGTAAAGGTAAGTTTAGGAGAACTAACAACGGGGTGCTTGACCCACTTGGATATTGTACTTTCCAATACCCAGAGACAACCACAGTAACCGATAAATTAGGCTTGTGCTAATATCTAAAGGGATTCTTATGGACACCCGTTCAATAGCTGCAGACAACTGAACTGATCCACCAGGACCCTGAAGGAACAAAAAAAAGTGGAATATGCAATGATAAAGTAGTAGCATACATGCAGTCTCTCAGTGCTCCCTTTGCTCTAAGATACATCCAAGGCAGACAGACCTGACCAAAGCGTCAGATATTCCTGGATCGCATTTTGCACTAACCTCCTCTGCAGGTTTACAGCCATCTGGATGGTCCACTAGCACTGGTGGCAAAGTCCCAATACATTGCTGTAGAGTGCCTGTGGTAGGAACCGTAAAGCAACAGATTGGCCTAGGCCATTCTGACGTGAACATAGAAGCACAAGAGGTCTTCCATCCACAAGGTCTTAAGGCTGTCCTAGAAGAAAAACAGAAATTCAAGTAAGTTCCCCGCTCAGTTGTGGCAGAGCTTGAGGTGGAAGGAGAAGGGGAGGAAAGTTTTCCGTATTTAAGACTTCAAAATCCTGTGCAAGGAAGAAGGAACCAAAAGACTGCTTCTAAAAAAAGGCAGTGAACTGAGCCTGTGAGGAAAACAACATATGCAGGGTAGAGTGGAGAGGTGGAACAAGTCATTAAAGTTTTTTAGCCTTTCAGATGATATGATTTAAGTGGGAGGACTGCCTGTCCTCCCAAATCAGCAGTTATCTATTTTTGAGTTCTATATATGTCGCCCTCTATCCAATCATGAACACTTAGCACAACAAACTATGAATTGTTCTCAATAAGGCCAGAAAACAGCCTCCTCAATGGCACACATTCACATGAGCATCTCCCCAGATGATCACTCTTTTGGACCAAGTTTTCCCATACATATTCTAGTTTACAGATGTAGGAGGTTTTTTTACATTCTTTCATCTCTCGCCCACAAGCTAAACATTAGCATTTATAATGACAGCTTTTGTAAAAAAAAAAAGTAACACAGACCTGATGCTTAAGTAGTATTTTTTCACTTCTAAAAAAGGGACACCTGAAAAATGATGCCTGAGCCTTTCCAAGTGTTATCTGTTAAAATTTTAGCAATATTGAATGAATTCCTTCAAATATCTTCCTTTACCCACTTAATACAGCAATGTCTGAAGGAAATTCTAAGCAGCTGAAAAGTAAACAAAATATCTTAACAGACAAGAACGCAGATGTTTTCAATTTTTAATGCAATTGTAACTTGCCTACACCTAAGTAATATTTGCCATATATTATGAGGTTATGTGTTGTATTTGCCATATTATATATAAGCCTACTAAATTACTCAAGTTCATTACTCTACCTGTATAAATTGTTAGCTTATGTATTGCCTGTCCAGGTGAAAAATTATGTACAAGGGAGAAAAAAAATAAGATGCTGACACTATGATAACATGACAGTATGGAGGAAATACTAGGAAAGCTAAGATTGGCAGTGATAGAAGAGATGTTTGTCAAATGCTTGTTCTGAAACAAATTATTACCGCAGTACTGAGGCAGGTGAAGTAAGTGTAATACTTGGCAGTTTCCCTTTTTTTTTGCATATCAAAGTAGAAAGAGAAAATGTCTCAACTCCTAATTTTGTTCTCCATTTGAGGATAGATTACCAAAATACTGATAAAGCATACTGATAGAATAGGAATAGTAAGCAGTTTTATATCCACAGAAGTGGCTTGCAGTCCGAATTTTAGAAGAACCAGCTAAGGACCTCCCAGAAATAATACCAATTTTTACCAAATCTGAAAAAAATAGGGAAGTTTCAAAGGGCCAGAAAAATACGGATTCACAAGATGACCCAAGATATACCCAGCAGGACACCTAATAAATCATATGATTGTTATCTTTCTGAAAGTGTTAAATATTAAGAGATCGTGACATAATTCTGAAGAGACCCAACCGTCTTTATCGAAGCAAATTAGTCACAGCCTTCAAGAAGGTTAAACACACAGACTTCTATGATATATCTGACTAGGCTCTACACATTGCACTGTAACACGCAACACACACACACAAAATCAGTGTTGCTTATGTTAAATTAGGGGGTTTTATATCACTTTTCTTAAGTAAAACTCAAGTGCCTTACAGAGGTGGAGAACATGATCCATTTTTACAGATGGGGAAACTAGTCCATTACCGGCTAAGTGGCTGGCAAATCTGGGAGCAAGTTTTCTTCTATCTGCTCAAGAGTTTTAACTGAAGTATCTGTCTATACATCTATCTGGTTAGATGAAGATCCGTATTATAGTGATTTTGCTAATTTATGTATTTGTTCAAAGGATCCTAAGATGACATACTCTTCATTCAGTGCTGTCCAGACACTGGACAGAAATAGCTCTTATAAAAAACACAAACTAAAAGCAAACAACAAGAGCAGGACACAGAGAATGGTCCATGTTGCCATTAGTAAGCAAGGCACATCTACCAAGGGCAGATGTTTGCTTTTCTGTAATGAACTTCCACACACTTAAAAGCTTATAATTTCCCTTCATCTTTTCTTTGGGTTACAAAAATGCCAATTCAATCATTCTTTCTGTACATACCATCTTTTCTAAATCGCCAGTCATTACCATTACCCTCCTGAGGCAAATTAACTGTGCCTAAATCTTTCTTGAAGTACAATGGCCAAAACTGACACAGTACTTTAACCTTACAATACAGAACAGAGCAGAAGGTTCAACTCTGCATGTCCTCCAGATTATACCACCATTTATTCATGCCAATACATACACACACATCTTTCTGAACAATGCTGCATTGTTAACTCTCATTTTATAATCCATGGCTTCTCCTAGATCAGGGTGGGGAATGGGGTGGCAGGAACAACTTAAACAGTTGTTCTCCATCTTTTATTTTTATGTTATTTTGACCTAAATATTTAGGGCAAAACGCATTTCACTTATTCTTCTAAATCACATCCTATTCTTTCAGGCCACCTTTCCAACATTCAAGATTCTTCTGAATTGCCATCCCAGCTTCGTGTACCTGCATTTATTCCCAAACACCTCTTGTCTTCAGATTTCATAGCCATATGCTATTCCACTACCCAGTTCACGAACAAGAACAATAAGCTGAAACAACTACACAAAATCCCACACAATATGCTTTCCCTTGCTGAAAGTGAACTACTGAAAAATGTAACTCTGGCTACTGTTAATCTAATGATTTTACACACATCCTAAAATAGCTTTTTTTATCTAGGCCATGTTTCCTTAGCTTGCTCTGTAAGAGTATCACATGTGGCTTTCTCTAGTCCACCAGCTTCCTGTTGTAGAGGAAGTTAGATTGGCTTGATTATACATTTCTGATCTTCACAATAAGGCTTCCAAATTTGCTTCCTCCAACTGCATGTTCAAAAAGAGGACTGTCTTACCTGTAACTACATCTCTTCAGTATGTTTCTACTCTAGCTGGATTTTCCATTATATCCTGTCAAGAATAAAAATTAAGGCACAGTATGCACACAGAACTGGTGGGTGATTTTCTAGTGGTTCTGACTCAAACCAAAAGCCATTTTAGCCAGAAATGGGCAAAAGAAACCAAGGTGAAGAAGATGTACTGTGCCCTTTCATTTTCTTGATGTGAATCCTAAGTAACCCAGAAAAAAGTAATAACCTATACACATTGCTGATGTAGACAGGCAAGTGGGTAAGGAGACCTGGACACCAATAACAAGATATGTAGGTGAACAAAAACAAGAAAGCATCTGCTGCAATAGCAGTTATGAGTACTTAAATTAAGGCTATCAGTAGGCATTAGCTTTCAATGTTCCATACTACACTGCTACACAATTTAAACTGAAGACTACTTCTGCTTTAAACAGTGCATACAAATAGCCAACTTCAAATGAAATTGTTGGAGCTGGGATTTTGGAATCCAAGCAGCTTCTGTTAATAAGAAGCTGCTTGGGATTTTGGAATCCAAGCAGCTTCTGTTAAGAAGTTCTCACACCAACTCCAAGTATTTCACAGGCTGAAAGTTAGATGAGGATGATTCTAGGCAGAGATGTCCCTTGCCAATGGTTTTTACTGTCCTGCTTTATACTCCATGACAAAACATTTAGCTGGTGGTTATCACATGCACCAGACCCTCTGCACAGTGGGTGCCTTAGCTTTTGTAAGTGGCACCTAACAACGAAGAAAGGTTTTTTGGAAAATTGACTTTTCAGGGGAATCCAATACTCTGAACTTTTAGTTAAACCTAAACAAATTTTAGCCAGCCACTCTGATATGTTGACCAGATTCACAGCCACAATGTTTGTAGAGTGCAAAATATAGTTGTCTCGTATTCAAGTAAGTGTCTATACTGAACAGTCTCAGTATTTGCATTCCCAGTATTCAGAGAACTTCCTTCTGACACATTTAATGTCAGTAACAGCACAATCATGCAGAGCTACTTATGCACAACAAAATATCTATTCCTAATTGTCACTCTTTATCCCACTTACCACTTTCACCTCTTCCTAAATATAACATGGAGTGACTGTATGATTTTTTAGTCATGCATTATCTTCCCAGTCTGTACAATCAATTTCTGTTTATTCAGTGACACACTTCCCCACACATACAAAATCATACAGCTGCCATACAGTATGTAGCCAACTCCATTTCGTCAGCTCATTTTTCTACCAGCTCAGTCCAGTGGTATGACCCTGCACATGGTCAGAAACGTCAGAGCAAGGGAGTGAACAGGAAACCATGAAAAGGAGAGAAAAGTATTAGCCTGCCATGAAACTCCAGATAAAACAGATTTATAACACTGAGAAAACCACATCTTCTACCTGTTGGTCTTGAACTGATCAGCAACACATAAAAAAACCAGAGCATACAACAAAACCACCACGGTTTTATTCCACAGTTCTCCATGGCTTTATCTTATACAGAAAGACAGCAAGGGAAATAATCACTTGACTACATCTTTCTTAATGGAGAAAATCCAAAGATTTTTTCCTGCACGCAATTTGTCAGAAAAAAAAATAAGATTCATAGGCATCATTTATAATACAATCAGCAAAACCATAAACACAGGTATGTGTTTAACATGTGTAAAGTACACACTGCTATCATATTATCTCCCCAAAACTTATAAAAAATTATCAAGGTAACAGTTATTTCGATCCAGCTGACATCTAAGTGTATGCCCTTAACTTTTCTTGGCCTTCACCAATAGGTTGTTCACGAACAAAGCAAAGATTCCGGCAAGTACAGCCATGAAAACAACGCATCAGTGCATTCCTCTCACAGCCTGACACCTTCTGTCTTCTGGGGACACTGACTCAAAGCAACACAAGCCAATGCTAGCAGTGTATGAAAGGGACCGAGAGTGATTGAACTCATAGGGTTTGGGTTTTTTTAAGTAAATACTATTTTTAGAAGACA